AGGTAAAAACGGCCAGTGCAATTCCAGAACAATCTAGATCTCATTTGGATCTGATCCTACCACTTCTTCCTTTAACAGCATGGGAATGCATCTTTATTGCTGACTGCCTTATACAATGGGATTCACAGCATTTTGTTCATTTTCCTGGCACTCTGAGTTCTCTGTATAGATGTCTGGGTTTCTTCTGGGCTGACAAATATGACTTATAGCCCATTAAATGGTTTAATAGGCTTCTAATAAGGTGGAGTTTTGCCACCCAGTGTTTATTCCTTTACCTCACAGCCAGAGCAGCAAAGGCTGTGGTGGGAGGGAGGGCAAGAGCTGAACTCTGCCATGGTTCCAGAGAGAGGCAGGAAAGCTAAAGCTCAGGAAGCAGAATGTCCTTGACACAGTATTTCTTGTAGCTGCAGTGAGCAGGGGGGCTGAAGAACAGAAGAGAAATATGGAAGAGAAATGGTGACCTGGGAAGCAACTGTTATTAATAACATAATAAAAAAAGAAAGGCTTCAGAAAAGCTCCCTTGCATTCTCTCCAAGATTTCTTATGGATAAACAGCTTTTCAAAAGTCCTCAACTGCCTGTTCATAAGCAGAACTCCTGCAGAAAAGAAATGTGGTCTCTAGCAATCCTGTGCTAATTAAGCCTGTTTATGTTCTGCTTGAATGGATGACAGCATGTCTTCCTGGGAATCCAGAAAACCTGGGAAGCAACTGCAGGTACCTGAATTTCATTTTGGCCTTGCTGTGCTATTCTTGCTGCTTGGGGTAAAAGCCTGGTAACACTGCTATAAAATTCACCTGAAGGATGAGCACTCCCGTGTCCCTGTTGAAATTTAGCAAAAGTAGGGTGCATTTTTCAAGGTGGGAATGCATCACTGTTGTTTTAGTAATGTTCCTTGACAACCCAAACCAGGCCTTGGAAATTCATAAGTATTTGACAAAAAGTTCCTGCCCCTTTGGGGAATCTTCTGCTATAGCCATCAAAATGCAGTGAGGCACCCTGGGAAAATCAATGGGAAAGCTCTTGACAGCCTTCCTTCCTGTGATTCCTAGTCCAAATTTGTTCCCTCAGGAGGATGGAACTCTGTAAATAGACATCTGACTTCCAGCTTCAAAGCACATCTCTTTATCCATCTTATTTCTTCTTAAGAACAGTACAAAGTGCAAAGAAAGAAAGCCTAATTTTGCGCCACTGCAATATAAATATAAATCCTTCAGTTGTTTTTTAGAGTTCCAAAAGTTGATCCACTACTTGAATAGCTCTGCAAAAGTCAGTGTGAAGATGGAGATTTTGAAAGGAGGCTGCGAGAATTTTTTTTGCCAAGGCTTCCAAAATCTAAGACAACTTTCTCTGTTTGAACATCTCAGCCAGATCACATGAATAACCATTTCACTAAGCCTTAATCACTAATAGGAAACCTGTTAAACTTTTTCCTGTTTTTCAAATGAGGGTTCAAATCAAAGAGTTAGGAACAAAAAAGGCCTTTGTGTTGAAGGATCCTTCCTTCTCCCTTCCCCAAAGAGCCCAAATGCTGCAAAATGTGGATTTTTAGGCAAATGGTCAGGTTTTTTCCAGGAGAGGTTAATATGGAATATATGAATGGCAAATTATGTTACATAGTCTGCAAAGTCCTGGTTTTACGTTACAGCCTTGCCTATACTTCAACCAGTATTAACTTTGGCTTAGCAGGTCTTGGTGTTGATTTCACATCATTTTCAATAAGACAGTCTGCAATGACACAACAGATGATAAAACAGAATCTTAAACTTGAGAGTCAAAAATATTTCCCTATGCTGAAAAATCAAACTCTCAGAAGTCCAGCTGCTGGCTCAGAGACAATTTCACTCAAGTGCCCCCAGCCAAAATCTCCCCAATGCCTGTGACATGTGGCCTAACTCACAAAGTATGTTGCTCCTGTAAGTGATTTTCAATGTGGAAAGCAAAAAGAGGATAGGAGTTGGAGACATTACTGTCCTCAAAGTCCACCAGCTGCAGGGGCTTCTACAATTTGCACAGAAGGTGAGAATTTGGCATCACAAAGCTGCTGAGAGTAGAGCTCTGAGCAGCCTCAGGAGTGGCCAAACCTGCAGTGGCACTCGCCAGTCTGGGTTAGTCCAGCTCCAGGCAATGGGTAGGCTCCTCCTTGCCATGGGCAGTACTGCACAGCTGATGACCTAGCAGAGTGCTTGAGCTGGGGCAGCTTTCAGCACATCCTCCTCCTCTCTGCAACCTTCATGTCCCAGGCAAAACCTTGTGCAGTGGCTGTCCAGTCTTGCTAAGTTTTTCCCAAAGCCTCCTGTGTAAACTGACTGAGATCTAATGGGAAATCAACAAGTTGCCGTGCAGTTGGGTGGATATGTCCCTGCATTGTCTTACCACCCTTATCACTATGATGCAGTCCTAAAATCCTTTTAAAATTTTTGCTCATAGGCCCAGACCTTAGGATGTACATATTAAAAACAAACAAACCAACTAAAAAAAAAAACAAAAAAACACACACACACAGAAAAACACCTAACAAAACCCCAAGCCTGCTGGAAGGGAGCAAAATAAATCCCAAGTCTTCTGGATGTCAGAATAGCTTGTGATTTCACGGTTTAATGATCCCATTTTAAGGAGATACAAAATCTGCCTCAAAAGACATACCCAAACAATTCTCCAGAGTCTAACATACAAGTTCAAATTAATAGCTTGTGCAAAATACTTGTCTCATAACTAATACTTGGTTAAAAAAGATAGACATGAATTTGTGGACATATATATAAGCTTTCAAAGAAATTTAAAAAGCAGAGGTGGGCATGCTTCAAGTGCCAAGAGACATGGCAAGTATGGTGTGGTCTCACAGATTTTACTGGTATAATAGTCCATAGAATCAGGACAATTATTTTAAACTAGTGAGAGTACTTATTGCAACTCATGTTTTTTGTGCAAAAGTATCCCAGGATGAAGACGATTGCTAGCATTCATCTTGTTCCCACCCAACAATAATTCCAGCCTCTGTTATTGCAAAACCAGAAGCCCAGGAGCTGAAACAGAATAAAGGCGAGATGAAATGTGCATTAAAGGCCCTTCAAGTCCATTTTATTTCTATGACTCGCAGATGTATGATTACTGCTTGGTTTCTCTGCCCAGGAGGCAGACACTTTATGTATGACTACTTTGTATATGGAAAATTCAGAATGGTATCTTATACCCCTGGATTTAAATCTAGTAAAAATATTCCTGTAATATACACTAGCCAGTAACAAACACAAAGCCAGATTCTTTCCATGGGCTCTGAGAAATGAAGAGTCTAATACATATTACATTATTTATTAGGATGGCATCATATTTTTTGTTCATCCCACATAAATATTATAATATAGAGTTTTACAAAGCTGCCTTATAAGATATTTTTTTGGAAGAAAAAGCAATTCCTGCCTTGAAATTAAAAAAAAAATCAAACAAAAAATTTATAGACAAAACCCAGACACTGCAAAATGAAGCCATGTCCTGGATAAATGGAGCCTCCATTCAGCAAGAAAGGAAATTCCTATTGCATTTATAAAAAATAAAAAATAGTTAAAAAAAAAAAACCCTAAGCAATACTAGCTACAGATGAATGCTGCACCCATTTTGGCAAACAGCTGAAGGTCACAAGTCCAGCCCAGCAGCAGCACTTAACTCTAATGGATACAATTTGTCTCACACAAGGGTGGTGTCATTCCACTGAAGAATGAAACCCATGCTGGGAAAGTCTGCCCATGCAGTAGACTCTGCCTAGCCCATTTCCTTTTAAATGCACATTCTCTGCAGCCACGAGTCTGCTCAGCTGGCTGCCCTCAAGTTCAGCATCCATGATGTGCAGAGCTGGCATCCAGGATTGTCCCTAGAAGGCAGCTCAAGCAGTGGGATCATCTTCGAGGCAGCTAAAACCACTCTCCAACCCAATAGAAATAAAGTTTCCTTTCAGGTTTATCCTCTTAGAGTAGCTCCTAAGGTAAACATGTAAAATTTTGCCCCATGTAAACATGTAAAATCAAATACTCATCCTTTTCTCTCTAGCAGCCCAAAGTACATATTAAACTCCAAACTTTCAACATTTCTCTCTCTCCCTTTTTGAACGTCAGGAAGCCACAAGGGGTCAGCTATCTGTATCTGAAGTGTGCTCATACGTGCTTGTAGCTGTATGTTCATGCCTCTTAAAAAGACTTGGTATTCGGGCATGCAAAAAAAATTATTTCTCATTATGTTTAAAAAGAGTGCATGTGGGAATTTATGATCTTAGGAACTAGACACACAGAGGTGTTTTAGTTGTAAGTACACTGAACAGCCATATCAGGGCAAGTAAAAAGTTCTGTCTGACTTCCAGCAGTGCATTGGGATGAGGCCCTAAAAAACAGTCTTCTCATCCAAGTTTTCATATAAGAGAGAATTTTTTATCTTTTTTAATCTTTGTAATTTTCAGTAAATTGGGTTTTTTTGCCGTGCTCTAGGATTACATTCTCACCCATAGAAAAAATATCCGAACACCTGTGTCCTAATTTTCCTGTACTTGTGATTTCACCTCCTGAGCATCCTGCCCACCACTACCATCACTTAGGAAAACCCAAATGTATTTTAGGCAAACGTTTACTAATATTTTATTCCCAGCTTTTCAATAAGAAGTTTTCAAACTAATTCTATTCTTCTTTCACATCCTTGTATACAGCTACAAAGAAAACCACGACTGAAACAAGTAGCAACATCTTACCTGGGTCCCCCGGCATGAGAAGGATGTGAATGTGCTGAAGCGAGCCCAGGGAAGCATCACAAAGATGATCCAAGGGCTGGAGCCCTGCTTCTGTGAGGACAGGCTGAGTGAGTGGGGGTCATTCAGCCTGGAGAAGAGAAGGATCCATGGAGAATTTATAAAGAAAGCCTACAAGAAAGCTGGAGAGGGACTTCTTACAAGGGCATGTAGTGATAGGCATGATGCCTTTAAATGGAGAGAGAGTAGCTTCAGACTATGTATCAGGAAGGAAGGTGGTGAGACACTGCAACAGGTTGCCCAGAGAAGTTGTGGAAGCCCCATCCCTGGAAATGTTCAATGCCAGGTTGGGCTCTGAGTAACCTGGTCTAGTGGGAGGTGTCCCTACCCTTGGCAGGGAGTTGGAGCTAGATGGTCTTTAAGATCCAACCCAAACCTTTCTATGATTCTATGACATTTCATTGTAAGGGAGGAAGAAATAGCAGTCTCTTCTCCTCTCTTGTATATGCAAGCAAGCATTAACTTAGAAATCCAACAGTAAACACAGGAACATGAGCCACCTGAGCACATCTTTGAGAAGGAATCATGGTCTAAGACATTAAAATACCAGTTCTAAAGGAAATAAGATGAAGTTCTGGTAGCATCGTGTCCTAGCAACAGAATTTTGCACAGCCAGTGCAATGGATGGGAGCATTTGCAAAGGAGGTCTAAGGTCCAACAGTTTCATTACTGCAAGATATAAAATGATTTCAAAATAGCTTAGGTTCAACTGTTCACTAATAAGTTGAAATAGTTATGTATTCACACTACTTTCAGAATTGCAGTATCCAGGCTATTCTTAATTACCTACAATTCACTGCTTTTCTAATTTATGTTGGTATAGATAGTCTTTCTGCAAATTTTTTAGTTATAAATTGCACATTTATTTTTGACTGAAGTGAAACTGTGAAATGTCTGAGTACTCAGAAATCCATACATTTCTAAAGCTCCTTGAGTTTGTTATATTATTGTAATTCCTGGATGTCAAAGAGCATGTATGTTATTTTAATATATAGCTCAGGTCTTTCTTCAGAAAAAGAACAAAGGCCACTTCTAACTGTATTTTGAAAACCAAACAGAAAAAAGTTAGAATCCTCTAAACCAGAGAACCAAGAAACCACAGAAATAAGAAGTTTGTTGCACCGCTGCACACTATTCCTCTTTGGAAAGTGTAGGACAGTGAAGAAAGGAAAGTTCAGAGTATAAAAATTAATATATAGAAAATCCAAAGAAGTATATCAAAGTAAAGTGAATGAATAAAAAACTTAGGGTGAGGAAAGAGAGTGTGACTCATCTGTATACTACGAGACAAAATTTAAAACCTGCAATCATCCTGGGTTTAGCAGCAAAAAAAAGATGCTGAGGCCTCAGGCACTCCAGGCCAGAGGCTGCCTGCCCTTCTCACCACTCACTCCCTACAGGCAGGTGCAGCCAAGGGTGTCCCACCCAGCATGAGGCACTGACCAGCACTGAGGTCAGAGCACCTTGTGCCATCGGGCCACACATGCCTCTTCAGGAAAATACTGCCTGTATTCACTTTATAGAATAAAATACTCTGTGTGGGTAAAACCTTTTTCAAGATCAATAGGAGATACAGATACATATGTGTATGTATATATACATATATACATTATATAAATATATAATGCATAGACTCCAGCATGTTTGTATAGCTATATGCATATGTGCTGAAAAACAATTTTCATGCCTATCTTTTTTTTTCAAGTAGACTGTTCTGGGGGGTGGTTTTGGCTACAATTTTATTTATGAGGGTAACGAAAGTACTTTTATCACAGGGTCTTCATCTCACAGCAACAGAAAAAGCAAGTGTGCAGATTTTTTGGAGATGTTCCACAGCTGTAAAATGTTTTCAGTTCCTGAAAAATAGCTAGTAATATCTTATAGCTGAAAATTAATTAACTATTTAATTTCGTAATTAACTGAATGAATCAATGACTATGTAGAGCATGTTGTAAGAAAAATTCCGAAAAAACTCTTACTTTGAGAATAAACCATTTTTGCTTAGCCATGTAGATTTAATGTGGCGTGGACCTGAAAAATATTACATCTAATTATACTTGCAGTGCCACAGAAGCAGTGGGGAACTTGAGAATATGACTGATAAGTGGCTAGATAGGAGGCTAATAGATATACATAGTTCATCAAAGGTGTAACAAGGGCTACACGATGTAAGTCTGCTATTGTAAGAGGAAAATAATCAGAGACAACATTTAAAGTTGCATTGAATCTAAAGAATGCCTCATGCTGCCAGCTGCAGGAGCCTGAGTTCATGCTCAGTGGATAAGTTAATTAACCATTTTAATACATCATGATGGATGCATTAGGGAAGATAATCGCTGAGAGAAGGCTGAGGAGAAAGCATCTGGGGGCCTGGCACAGTGCTTATAGAGAAGAGCTGCCCCAGGTGGGCAGGTTGGTCCTGGGGACACAGCCTGGCCTAACACATTCCCTGGGTCAGAAATGCTCTGCTGGGCACTGAGCCTGAGCACGGCACAGTGGGGCTGATCCCAGAAATGAGAACAGACTGGAAACAGGCAGTGAGTGGTTGCCATTGCATGGAGGAAATGCCCCAGTCAGGGGAGGCCCATGGAAGCCTGCAGATACAGAGCAACCAGAAGTATCCTGTGGAACACAGTGCACAGACACTGCCAGGCAAAATAAACAACCTGCGTGTGTAACAACCACACAGAAAACCCTCCAAAACCTCTTACCACCATCTTCCATAATTTTAGCTGTTGGAGAAAGCTGCCCTCAGCAGCCAAAATATTGTAGAAAAAAATATATATATATAAACTAGATATGAGGTGGCAGAACATCAACCATAAACTCTCTTCCAGAAATGGTTTCTCAGCCCCAACAACCATCAGTTGATCCAGTTCAAACCAAACAAAAACTGAGATGTTGACCAGGTTATAAGGAAAGAAATTAGAAGAGGTGACTGACTTGCAGTCACTTGGAAACAACAGACTGAATGCCAGCTGGAAGAAGACAATAAGTAATGCTGTGAATATTACTTTAACTACAGAAAATAATAAAGAAGCAGACAAGAAAACATTCACATAGTTGATTTTTGAAGAAAGGAGTGTAAGAGGTTGCCAAAGGAGAGTGGCAAAGGTTAGAATATTTTGAGGAGTAAGAAATTAGCACATCTATAAACATGACCTATTGCAAAAACCAGGTATTGCAGATGTCATTTTTTTTTGAACCACAGTCAATCTTAAGCAGCATGTGTAAAGAAACCGCAGACATAAATATTCACACGGCCCTGGTGCCTGAATTGCTTTCTTATCAGGGAATAACTCTGCCTTGAACTGCACACATTTAGCAGAGTCATATAACAACTGAACAGCACTGCAGATCAATCATGGATACAGACATATCTTTCTTCCATGGTTCCACATGTTTTAGAAAAAAATTAGTCTCCTGTAGTTGCTTAATGATAAGGCTTCCTAAACTGTTAAATCTCTGAGAAAGAGTAAGCTGTAGGCTTAAACATGCTCCAGAAAAATAATTAACAGGTTTTTAAAGATTATTTCTCTTTCCCAGCTTTTGCAGTAGATTTTCTGAAAATTTCTGGTCAAAAGTATAAAATCCTTTGCCAGCTGGAAGAGGTATTTAATCTTAAAATAGTCAATAATATTAAGCTTACTTTGAAAAAACAAATATTTTTTCCAAAAAGCAGAGAGCAACCTCTAATTTAATTCATACAAGAACTCCAAATGGATTATAAAAGAAAACTGAGTACCTTATAGAAGAAGCCAGGCATGTTCTCTCCTGGAATAGATTAGGTATGTTTTTATTAAAATCAGTGGAACGTGCAATTTGTTTCTCACTATTGACTAAGTTTTATCATCCTGCCAATGAAGTGGAGCAACAGACCGAAACAGTCATGAAAACAAGTGACTACTAGTGATGGTGGGAGAATTGAAGCAATATCAAAATCTTGACATGCAAGAGATATTTAATATTCAAAAATAATTTTTTCTATGCTGCAGCTGAAGCCATGTAAGCAGTACTTACACCGAAACAGAGAATAAATGCTGCAAGATTGTGGTCATAGTCCAGGTCTTCCGTGTTAAACCTACACCACTAAGCAGCTTGAACCCCTTCATGGTATCAGCTTTTATGATATTAATATTCTCCTGAAACAGACAAGACAAATAAGAGAGGATGTGGGAGCTCTTCTCTGTCATTATTATCCACCTAAAATTCTCATTAAAAACCAGGAGATGTGTAAGGAAAGCTAGGTCACATCTACAGTCTCGTGAGGAAAAGCCTCTCCAAAATGCAAGCAAGCCCCTTCCAAACTCTTGCTCTGTCCATACCTGCAATTTGACTTGTGCAGAGCACGTCTGAGGCCAGCAGGGATACAACAGCTAAGAAAATTAATGACAAGGTACAAAACTAAGGCAGTGTCCAAACCCAGTAGCACTACTTGCAGAGAGCTGAGATCTCTTCCTGCACTGTTCAGTCCTCCCATGAATGAACACAAAGTCTCTGCTCCAAGCACAGAGGAAGTCTGGCCCTTCCCCACAAAGGTTCCCTCAGCTTTGATTCTCCTTATAAAAAAATTGGATCAAAATAGAAGAATATTTATGCAGTTATTCTACTGAATATCACAAAAAAAGAGTTTCTCTCCATGAGCCTACTCAGTGGCACCTTTGTACACTTCTATACAGTTTCTTAAACAGAAGCCCATTAGTATAACCCAACCTGTCTCATCAAAAGCAAAGTAACATCACAAGACTTTATTTTTTAATGGGAACATACATGAATACCATTCTTCCAACCACTGGGATGCAGCTGCTACTCTTACACCCTCATTTAACAGTACATAAAAAGGATGGATGAAAATTAGTTAATAAGATCAAAGCTATCCTAAAATAGAAGCAGAAGGAATGCTTTCACCTGCTGTCAAATAAGGGCTGCATGAATTTATTGTACAACCACATCACCAGGTAGTGGTTATATTCCTTTCCATACACTTCAGCTTAGCTGAAACAGTATGCCTCAATCTTTATTCATCTATATGGCAAAAATATAAAAATTAAAATCAATATAAGCCTAGCAATTAAATTATCATGAAGCTTATGAATCAAGAACTAAAAAAGCGAAAGTAATCTTAGAGGATTTAAGATCCACATTCCTTACTGAAAGAAAGCTGATTTTACTTCTTTGCATGAATGTCATTAAAATCATTGACAACAAATTAGGACCAAAAAAAAAAAATCAATAAAAATAAGAAAATGTTGCCATAGTTCAATTG